CCTTGGAAAGACATGGAGGTATGTGCGCCCTCCTAAGGATATGCCTCCCCAAACACAGACACTGCCTCTTCCGTATGCATCTCTTTCACGGATGTTTGATGGATGATAACGGGTCCCAGGTTCTCTCCATATCAAATAACGTCTACTGTCACTTTCTAGACTAAACCTGGACTCATCCGTAAAGAGAACAGGCCTCCATTGATCTGACGTCCAGTGGACATGTTGTCGGGCCCACTGCAAACGGTCTCTCCTATGGCGTGATGTGAGCGGCACGCAAATGGCTGGTCGTCTCGCATACAGACCACCTTCGTGGAGCCTTCTGCGCACAGTTGACGTTGACACCAACCTTCCGGTGGCTGCAGCAAGAGAGGATCTAAGATGTGTCGGAGTAGCGGTTCTATTCCTGCGTGCACTTAATGTCAAATATCGGTCATCGGCACTGGTCGTAACAGTTGGCCGTCCTTGACTGAACCTCCTAGATGCCGAATCTGTGGTTTGAAATTGCCTCCAAAGTCTATGAACCACAGATGGACTCACATTTAGCCATCTGGCCACTTCTGATTGACTCTGCCCTGCCTCTAGTCTCCCGATGGCTCTCCATCGTAGTTCTTCAGGCAAATGATGCCTAGAGGTCATTATTACGAATTGGCTATCTCAGATTTTCAATGTCGCAATCACAGTAAAATTTGTGTGCTTTCTCTCAAACTTGGACTTTTATGCTCCAGGCAGATGACGTAAGCCGAGTGCAGCGCCACTAATTTGCATATTGCAATTTTACTCAGCTACTCTTAGTGGACAACATATGCAAATTTTGCACGGTTTGGCTTACTTTTGAAAGAGTTATCGCTATTTTTGTGATTTTTCCTTAATTTATGATAACCAGTGTATATAAAAATCATTAACATAATTTGTAATCTTCCTATACCACAACCTTGAATTGAGCACAGAATGAAATCTAACTTTAGAGATTCCCTCTACATTTGCCTATAACATTAGCATTGAATTCGAAATCCATTATATGGTTACTGATGATTTTATTTCATTAAAATTCGTTATTATTTCTCCCTTTTCTTTTCCTCCAACACATTTGAATGCGCAAGGCTAAGAAAAAGAGCCTTGGCATTAAATTTAATCAATTAATAGCCAATACATGGATTCCTTAACTTTCCTCTGAGAAAACTATTTCAACGTATGCATTACACTTGCAGTTTTGATTTCTTGGTGGACAGAGGTTGTGGGGTTTAGCCCTCCAGCCCCACCCTCTGGAACATTATCTAAATTTATTGGTTTATATGTACACAAAAGCTGTTTCGAGCATTCAAATATAAGCAAACATTCTCAAGACTCGTCTGGTTTGAACGACTTGTGACGCTAATAATTTTACGCTCAAAATATGTTTACTCTTATTAGCTATTATTTTTTAAATCAATGAAGTTTTAATCTTTTCGATTCAGTTTCTTGGGATTATTCATTTAGTAACACAGTATATTAAATTACTTCAGGCGATATTAAAATAAGTTTTAAAAAAAATAAAGGCATAGGTTCTTATATTGAAAAAATAATTAGTCACTACCTTCCAATAAAAATCAATGCAGTACAATTTTTTTACTGCTAGCCTTAATAACATTTTTTACGGACATAAAAAAATTCCTTTTACAATTGAAATTTCAAAAGTCGAATGTGAAAATGGAATGTCCCTAAGCACCAGGAATCAAAACTGAATCGTTGCAAGGACATCTATTTCAAACAAATTAGCGTTTCCGTCCTACTCGAAGCTGTTTGAAAATATATTTTTTATTTATCGATTCCAAACTTTATTCTACATATATTTTAGGCTGTACTTTAGGCGTACTTCGATCGAGTTTAAACCCTTATTTCATTAAAATTATTATATAATTTACTTAAAATTCAAGTTATATGATTTAATGCATTTTTAGTATAATAGTAAGCAAGGCTTCCATCGCATATCCTTAAACTTGATACCGCTATCATTAAATTAATGAAATAAGCTTAGATAAATAATAAGAGTTGAATTTTTTTTTTTAACTTTCAAGAAATAATATGTTTCGTCCGAACAGATTTCAATTCTGGAAATAATGAAATTATTGAGTAGGTTCTTTGGAGTAATATCATTTTATCCTCTAATGACGAAATATAGGTAAATTGGTATTCTCAGTTTCTGTAAAAAGTTTTTACCTCCTCGCTGAGTACTTTTTTTATCAAAATAAGTTCATAATCACTCATTTTTTATTACATTTTTAAAATGAGATGATAGTTTTTAAATTGGCACAGCTTCGGGATCTTTCTACAATTTCAATTTTTAGTATTTGCTGTTTAACATGAAAAGCATTTTCCTAAAAACAAATTATGCTACATTAATCTCATGGGAATTATGCATGAAAAATAGATTTTTTTCAAAATCTGGCAAAAGTAAATTTTTTTCAAAATCTTTTTTTCAAAAGAGCAACTTTCTTAAAATTAACGGTGTAATATATAAGTTTAAACGTCAAAATAAAATTGTGGTTCGAATTTGTTCATTTAAAAAACAAAGCAAACAATTGTGGTTTGAGTTGCACTCATGTGTATTTGCTTCTCACAAATCAAACAAATTAAAAATAAAGTAAATAATTTGATAGTTCAATCTTAGAGAAAAAAGTGCACTTATTTTCTGCTAGCAGTCAGACGTTTTGCACTGAGTAATTTTAGCATAGTAAATGCTCTTAAGTTCTTATCAGCTTACTGGCTGTAGTTCTGATACTCGAAAAAAAAACTTAGCAATTACTTACAACAAGTGTTAATTTAAAGGAAAACTTTAAGTACCAATAAAAATTAAACAAAATATTTTAGAATATTATCGGAAAAAATTTTACGTGGTAGCATAAAGAAATAATTCGTTGAATAGTTCTGGGAATCACACGTGCCCAAGTAAATAAAAATTTAATTTCAGATTTACGATGTTAGAACGACATTTAAGATACTGAGATATTTTAAGACGCTTGAAAAATTTGGCTACGTATTCTACAGCTCTTTATGTTCGGTACCTTTATACTACTTGCAGTGACTTACAAAACATCAACATTGTTTTAGATAATCTATGTTGAACTCACAAGAAGCAATAAAAAAAGACAATCAATAATTTATCTTCATTTTTCGAAAAAATATTATGCTTAGTAAATAGTCAGCTGTTTTGCGTCGAATAATTTTTAACAGCAGATTGTTTTAAATTTCTTCACGAGATTTTATTCTCAGATGGCAGGAAAAAATAATTCTAAGTTTACTTTTAATAAAAACTTGATAATAATTGAAGAAGGAATTATACTTAAAAGGAAAACCTAAGTACTAAAAAGCTTATTAGTATATTAATAAAAAAATAATATGCGTGGAGGCGTAAGGAATTAGATTTTTAAAAATGTTAAAATTCAATTAAATAGTTGGTAAAATAGTTCCGCGAAACAAGCGTAGACAGTTAATTAAAAAATTAATTTTAAGATTAAGACAATATGGAAGATGTTGAGAAATTTTACGATGCTTAAAAATGTTGACTACAATTTTTTTAATTGCTTAATTAGTATTAAAAATTATAAAATATATATTAAAGAAATTGATAAATGTATTGCTTCAAATCTATGCATACGTATGTATATTATTGAAATTGTATATTATTGAAAAAGCAAACTAAGAAATATAATATAATCACATTAAATATAATCCCAATATGATGTATAATCAGATTCTATTGGAAACATGCTTTAATAAAACTCGACATTCGTTGAAAAAAATGTTTTTTTTTTCTATAATATGTTTTATTCAAATTTCTTTACTAAATTACGAATAAATTTTTGGAAGGCTAAAAAATAAACGTCATATTTTAGAATTAAAAGAAAATAAAAAAAAGATTAGCAATCGAAAAAGATAGGCATTATTAACGAAACAAAGTTTTACGCTACGCGCGCGTAAGTCAAGACGTGTATTTTTTTAAAAATAATTAATTTTAATTTTCTCGTCTTCTACTAAATAAAAACAGTTGAAACTTTAGATTTTTCAATAGAAAAATCCAAGTAAGGTATAAAAAATTTATGCCACATTGCTCAAAATTTTTTTATCCTCAATTTAATTAAGCAATAAATAATTATTTGAAATTATTTTTTGTATAAAATTATTTTGGGGTTAATGGGTCTCATGAGTGGGTGCATTTTTTTAATTGCTTAATTAGTTTTAAAAATATGACTAAAAACGCAAACAGTGAAATTAACGTTAGTGGGTCTGAACTTAGGATCGCTCTCCTGATCAAACTATGCGAACCATATTTCCCAGATTGCGTCTACTCCTTATATTTTGAAGGTTAAGAATCCAAATATGTAAAAAAATATATATGTTTATTCAGATAATGTACATTTTTGAGTCTGATTTCGTAACTTAATTAATAGTTAGCACTAAATAATTAGCATGCTTAAGATCTTCCCCTGGAACCACTAAGATTGACACTTAGTGCGTGAAAATCCGATCAATAGAACTAAGGTTATTCAGGGTGATATCTCTTTNTTTTTTTTTTTTTTTTTTTTTTTTTTTTTTTTTTTTGCCAACTGTACATACCTTAATATCCGACACTTTTGTATTTAACTTCCTGGGTCAAATACATTTTATAGAATATCCGTTTAAAAAATATGCGGTTAGTGTTACTTTATTACATTGAATTCTTAATTTTGTCGTTATATATTTGACAGTTATCATTTAACTGTCAAGAAGGTGTATGAATGTTGTGTATAAACTAATAAAAAAAATTGCTCCTCTTTCCTTAATAAAAAATTTTTACACTAAATGTAATCATTAATCCTGAACTAATTCAAAAATTACTTAAATTTTCTTTAAATTTTGAAATTTTCTATCTTTAGGACAAGGTTTTATTCAGGCGTAAATCCTAATGATTTTAAAAAAGTGTTAATTGACAACACAATCATTCAAAAACTCATTTATTTATGTTTCTAAAATTCTTTTTATAGGTGTATTCCTGATTCCGTACCTATTAATGTTATTCTTTGGTGCCATGCCCTTGTTCTACATGGAGCTCGTTCTTGGTCAATACCACAGACAAGGACCAATCAGTGTTTGGAAATTTTGTCCATTGTTTAAAGGTAAGTATTTTCTCCATATCATAATTTCTAAATTTTATACATTACAGATTTTTGCAAGTAATTATAAAACTAATTTATTGGCATTTATGTATCTTAACAGAAAAGGATTCGTGAGTTAACTGCAAAAAGAACTTATATCCATATATTTAGCATTTTTACTAATACTAACTTAAAACTACCAAAAGTTAAGTAAAGTTTCTTCATTTCTTCATGCAAGAGTTGGATTTACAATTCGACTGGGACAAAAATAAGTTATTTTCCTTCTTTTTTTAAACAGTAAGCAGTAATTAAAGTAAGAATGGATTTAGTTTCTTTTTTCACCAAATCCCTTAAATATTAAAAAGATGTGATTTTATAGCATAAATTGATTTTTTTCCACACATTCTTACAACTAAATACAAACCTATTCAAACTAAATTCAGCTTTAATCAAGGCTAGTGAAAAACAGTATCTTACATGCCTGGGTCGCTAATTTACAATCCAGCTGCCTTTGACGACTTTCTCGCTTTTTTGGAGATTTTCCCCTTGGTTGTAGTTGGTCGCAATTACAGTGCAAGATTTTATTTCTTTTTAAAGTTTGTTATCTAAACTTTAAAAAAAGTCAAGAATCAGGTTTCTTTCTATTTAAGAAAACGCCAAACAGAACAGAGGGTTATTAAATACCTCTGGTTTAGAAAATGTAATGTAATAAGACATGTAATTTTTACCCTTGCATGCCCAGCTGTACATGTAAAAACATTTAAAAATATTTATTAAGGATAAAAACATTGAAAAATATTAAGGGTAAACGCATTTAAAATATTTAGTAAGAAATACCATGAAATACTGATTGAGCATCCCTTGAAATTTTAAGGAAAATAACCAAGAGCAGAATGGTGAAATCTCAATGTATCTGTGAGTGAAATACGAGAATTCTCATCAAGTCTTTTTTCTATATAGTCTGATCTCTCAGAATATCTTTAAGAATATCTTTTAGAATAACAGGAAACATTTTTAAATAATCTCTTACTAGTGAGGATAATTTCATTGTTAAATAATCTCCTACTTGTAAAGATAATTTCATTGTTAAATAACCTCCTACTTGTGGGGATAATTTCAGTATTAAATAATCTTCTACTTTTGGAGATAATTTTCATTGACGGTGAAGAGGTTTTATTGGAGACTGTGTAATCTCCTAATTGTGGGAATAATCTCACTGTTAAATAATCTCCTACTTATAGGGATAATTTCCTTGTTAAATAATCTCTTACTTATAGGGATAATTTCACTTTCAAATAACTTCCTACTTGTAGGGATAATGCCCTTGTTAAATATTTTCCTACTTGTGGGGATAGTCTCACCATTAAATAAGCTCTTACTTGTGGGGACTTTGCATTTATTCCAGTACAGTGAGCAAAAAGGAAAAGATATCACCCTGAATTACTCTTGATCTAATGATCGAATTTTCACCAATAAAGTACCATTTTTAGTACTTCAAGGGGATGACTTCAAATATGTTAATTAGTTAGTTATAAATATTGATTAAGTTAAAGGATCAAATAAGACGCAAAAATCATTTTCTCTGAATGAACGTACCATTATTTCGACCGATTAAGATTTTTGGATTAAGATAGATAAGATTTTGATTGGATAAGATTTGGATAAGATTTTGATTAAGATAGGGACCAGCTATAATCTAAAAAATATGGTCTCAATTGCTTAGCCAAAAGAACGTTCGAAATTTTGTGCACCATAATGTTATTTATCTTTTTCTGTATTTTGTCAAATTTTGGAAAATTTTTGCACAAAATTATAAATCTAGCTTATTCAAAAATAATTCCTTTGTATAATTACTTATTATTTTTAATTATTATTTTACTGTAATATATTTATTTATTGTATAAAACTGTTGTTAAGCAGCATAAAACAAATCATATCTAAAACTTCAATATTTAAAAATCGTTACCTTTTTTTATAAATTAAAATAAGTTCCTAAAGCTTGAGGTACATAAATTTCTTTAGAAAATCTAATTTTGAAACGCATTTCATTTCTATACTTATAAATAGTACTAAAACTTCAAATTATAAGAGAAAATTAAAAATAAATCTCTTATACATAGTGTGCTTTCTTTTACCGTATTAAACAATGCAGCTTATTTCCCAATAACTTTTTGAAATTAAAATAAGATCCATCCTCATATCTATTTTCTTCTAAGTTATTAACTTCAAATGAATAATTCACTATTATTTTTAAAGATTTCGAAACAATTAGAAAAAATAAATCTGAGTTTTATTAAATAAAAGAACGTTCTCAAAGTTTAAAAATGAACAACGGAATTATTAGAATGGAAAGTAAAGTATTCAATGTAATGAGAATTAATGAAAAGAAAAAAAGAATTAAAAAATTAGTTTTTTAATAACTTATGTCTTATGTTTAAGAATTTAATAAAATATCTCAAAAGCAACTTCACGATTCCTATTGAATCTGAAAAAATAATTTTTAAGAATTTATTTTTTTTATTCTGTAAAAAAAAATTTTACAGATGAACAACAGTGGTGAGTAACAATTCTACACCAAAGTGCTGTTTCACTACTCCTAAAACCAAGAATAATTCCTGTTGAAATGAAACATCTCGAATGTTTTTTTTACAGTATTTGGTATAGCCATAGCCATGTTTGATGTAAAGTAGCAGTAGCCATTTTTTTTTTATTCAGTAACACTAAAATTTTTAATTTCTGTAAGATATGATACACATTAGAATCTTTAGTTACTTTTACTATACAATATTAAGCAAGAATCTTAAAATGCATTAGAAAAAATGCTTGTATACAATATTTCTTAAGATAAAAAGATAGAATTAGTTTTTTAATCAAACATGCATATCCATGGAGAAAATATGAACAATGAGAGACTTAACAAAACTGAAAAGGATAGAAATTAAATGCTATAAAATTATTTTATGCAGATCACATATATTTGAAAATTAAAGTATAATTATCCTTATTATACAGCTAAAAACATGCATGCATATTTTAACGTTTTAATGCTGAACTTAAGTTTCAGTAGAAATTGTATAGCGGGGGGAAGGGAGACAATTGACTCACGTCAACTATTACTGGATGTAAACAAACTATTAGCGATATCTAAAATGTGCCAACCCTGGCGTTTTTTGGATCGAAAATAATTCTATGCATCTGATCTTGGTGCAAGTTTCCTCATTTATTAAAGTATAGACTTAACTACAGAAGTGTGTATGAATGCTCGATTCCGTATCAACTTTAAATCTAAACTATTATTAAATAAAATAATAAATATTTACTGAAATTTATTTTTTGCTTGGAATTGACCTTAGATATACGAATTGCATAATTGTGCGCAAAAATTTGTCAATTCGTGCACAAAGTTCAGGAGATATGGTATAAATACGCAAAAAGTAAAATTAACATTAAAAGATCGAAATTTGGGACAGCTCTCCTGACCAAACCATTGGGAGCATATTTCCCAGAATGCCGCTACTCCTATATTTTGGGGGTTATAAACCCGAATAAGTCGAAAAAAAGTATGTTTATTCAGAGAAAGTACGTTTTTATGTCTAATTTTGCATCTTAAAACATCATCTGCACTAATTAATTACAACCATTTTGAATCCCTTTGAACCATTAAGATCTAGTGCTAGAACGTAAAGATCCGTACATTAGATCAAAAATCATTTAGATAGATCAATATTTTTTATTTATTTATTTTTTGCCAAATATATTAACTAATTTCTTTCGTCACATTATTATGCATTACTTCCTTATCAAAAATTACTGCAAAAAAAACTAACCTCATATACTTGTGAAACCGTGAGCATCGTCCTTGCAAGCAGTAGAGAAATAAGCATGTTCTAATAATTACACTATAGTAAAAGAATTCAAAATATTTAATTCCTAATTGACAAAACATTTTTTGAAAGAAACGCGCTTAAAAGCAGCAGAATTTTCAAAAGAAGGAATAAATAATATAGCACTAATGAAAACGAAGGAAATAAAAATAAAAATATGACCACCGAAGCCAACGTCTTCAGGGGGTACCGGCCTCGGAAGGCATAAAACAAAACCTCTTCTATTGAAAGACAGGCAAAATTAAATGCCAAAAGTAACTCTCTCTGTAACCTGAAGGTTTTGTATAAGTGCAGGAAAAAATACATCAAGTACATAAAACCAAAAAGAAATTCAAACAAAAACTTGAGAAAATAAAAACTCACATTAAACCGGGCAAACAGCGATTTCACAAACAAACCAAATGCAAAAGGAAACACTTAAAACAAAAGAAAACAACCCCCTCTATTTAAAATGCGCAGATTGAAAAAAAGAGAAGTAAAAGAGAAGATTACGTAAGAAATTAATATAATGTAATGAACTAATAATTACACTTAAGTTTTGAGCTTTTGCGAATTATTTCAATATAGCTTCCTGAAAATGATGCATTTCTGTCATAGGTGTTGGATATTGCAGTGTCTTAGTATCTTGGTACGTGTCATTCTATTATAATGTCATCATAGCTTGGACTTTATATTACATGTTTATATCCTTCTCCGCTGAATTACCATGGATTCGATGCAATAATCCATGGAATACAGATCGCTGTTGGGAAAGCAGAAATAGCAGTGGATATATCATAGATCCTTCAGCAGTTTTCAATTCGTCCACTTTTCGTGCTAACAGAACTTCACCAGCCCTGGAGTTTTTTGAGTAAGTAATATTTTTTGGCTTTAATTAAATCATATAACGTGACGCATTTTTATATGAAATGGTAGAAATTAAGTTTTTAATATGCTTCTAAACTGAATTTAAATTATACATATTCTGATTTTTCATTCAAAAAGCAATTATTTCATTTGAAACTCATGCATTGGTATTTTAAGAGTTAAAAAAAAGAACTTTACTTTAGTATGTTCTATATAAAGTCGGTAGTTTTCTTTTTACGTAAATTGTTTAAAGGTGTTTAGAAAACATTTTTGTGTTCTTTCTTCATCATCATCATCATGACAGCTCAGAATGGGCCCTGGCCTTTTCGAGAATTCTCTTCCATCTTGACTTATTCTCAGCAACAGTTTTCCAGTTTTTAGAGTTCAGTACGAGGAAGTCCTTATCTACAGAATCAGACCATCTGAGTTAAGGTCTTCCCCTTAGTCGTTTTCCTGGTGGCCTAGTTATAAAAATCCCTTCAGATGCGCATTCATCCTGTAACACCATTAGGTGACCAGCCTATTTCATCCTTCGAATTTTGATATATTTAGTAATCTCATGTTCATTATAAAAGCGATAAAGTTCATGGTTAAATTGCCTTCTCTAATAGTCCGTTAATCTGGTTTTCGAATGCATCTAATGCACATTCGTCTTCTGAGATCTTTAGTTTTTAATAATCTCATTATTAAGGAAACACTATTCGCATTCATTCGTTTTCTTTTTCGTGGTTTGGTGAGTTTATTTTCCATAACAACGTGATTTTATGAAAAAAGCACCTTCATTTATGAGTTGGGTTTTGAAAACGATAAATTTAAACCCCTGTATTTATATAGATTATCAAATAGAAAAATTGGAAAAATCAAATGATTGCAATGTTTAGCTTTTTTTTGACGAAATTTCATGCTACAAGGAAACAAATAACACTTACTTGACTTAAATATTAATGAAATACGTATACTTAAATTAAATTATATTAAATTGTTTAGAGTTTAGATCTAAGAAATAATCGTTTACTTTATCTCCTTAGCGATGATATAAGAAAACAATTACAGTGCTTGTGAAAAAAGTACTATCTTCGTCTAAAGAACTTTAAAAATGTGTGTAAAATCGAAGAGTTTTTGGTAAACTTTTAAAAAAGCTACTTTACAAATATTTATACTGATAACTTTCTCAAAACTTTTATTACTATATCTTTTTCTGATTTTGCTAATATTTCTTGTTATTTTATGGTTCTTAATCCGTTTTTCTTTTTCTTCGAATAAACCAGGTTTATTCTAAATACAAACTCAACAACTTATTTCTTAATAAAACTTAATTGTAGATTTCACTTTAAAAAAAACCTTCTTAAGCAATAAAAATAACTTTCTCAATATACAAAAATACATTTTTAGTTTTAAAGCCATTGTACAATGTGTAATATAGCTTGGATAGCTAAATATATTTATCTCCAAATGGAGTAGTAGAAACTCATACCTTTGTTTAGTTAAATGACATCTAGTGATAGCTAACGTAAAAATAACTGTTCAAGATGTTTGAGAAAGTCTTGAAAGAAGTATTTTATTGATAAACAGCTATCATTTCTGTGATTACTGCTCCGTATTAATCTACAAAAATTATCATATATCATTCAATTGTATTGCTCTTTCTGTCTGCGTTAACTTTGATTCTGATTCAATATAAACGGTATTATTATTGATTAGGTTATATAATATTCAGATTTCTAATGTAATAAACGTATCGTATTTACAAATAGAAAACTTTTGTATTTTTTAAATGTCGGAATATTCTGGATGGCGTCTTTGTGACAATTTTTTTTCACATATTGATCAAGGATGAGGGAATTATTGATGACGGTCAAGATATTACTAATGCTGATAATGTTCATTCCGACATCAGCACATCAGTCTTAATGGCACCAATAATCAAGAAATGTATCAGTAATTTCACGCAATCATATTTTCAATATCAAGTTAATTGAATTTATTTCAGTCTCTAAAAAGAAAAATTTATAATCACGACACATAGACATATAAAAATGACGTTAGGTTTGAAGTTTAAATTGATAATTCCTAATTAATCACACTCACCAAACATCATTGTAACATCATCAAAGAAAATTAGTGAATAAAAGCAAAGATAATTGTGGTCACGGTACGCACATCCACAATGAAGCAATTCCTTTTATCTTTGCATTTTTCACAATAGAAAGTGGTTGATTAAAAACCGCATTGTTAATAGTAATAGGTTTGTTAAACTATAGCGATTTTAGTGGTTTATATTATTGTCAGAAGTAAGTGGGAAAATTTTTATCTCACCGCTGCTGAAAGAATTAATCACCGGCTGAAGTGACTAACGTGTATAATTTATCCCATTTACCAAAAAAACGTGGTTATTATTATCAATCGCAGGTTGTCACTAATTCAAGCTAGATTTATTACTTTAACTGCAATATATACATAAATTTATTATATTTATTAGCACCGTAAGATGGGGAAATTTAGTGCCCCTTTCTTTAAGTTATTTTTGAATATCTCATTAAGTTGGAAGTGCTGAATATTTTCCACAATATACCTGTAAAACTCTTTTTTAATGTAGTTGGTGAAACATTATTTAAAATGGTTAGGCAAATTAAGAAACAAATTTCCGTAGCACAAAGTCACCACGTTGAGTATAAAACTTATTTATCGCCTTAAAATATACTATAACTTCATTATAGAATTAGCACACAGTAAGTGATGCAACAGATGTGTGGTAAGGAACTGAATTGTGCACTAATATTAAACAAAATGGCTAGGAAAATTGAGAATACGCCTTTTTCTATAGCACGAAGTCACCACGTTGAGTATAACTTTGTTCCACCTTATTTATCGCCTTAAAATCTACTATAACTTCATTATAGAATTAGCACACAGTAAGTGAGGCAACATATGTGTGGTAAGGAACTAAATTGTGCACTAATATTAAACAAAATGGCTAGGAAAATTGAGAATATGCCTTTTTCTACAGCACGAAGTCACCACCTTGGATGAGGAGAAGTAGTGCCATGCAATTTTTCGTCTTAAAATCAACTAAATCTTTATTCTAACACTTGTTACCGAATATTCACTCAAAATTTCGAAATATAGTTTAAAACAGTTATTTTTTCAACATCTTATTATTTAAAAAAATGTATGGAGAACAAAAAAAAATTCGCAATAAAGTATTAAATTTATATTTATAATGATAAATAGTTAAATTATTATCATTACATCCATTATAGTTAACTCTATTACGTTTATTATATTATTAGTTATATCGTTATTATTTATGATTAAAAAAGGAAATCAGCAATGAAAAAGTTATTAAAAGTTGGTCAATTTTTGATTACACTGTAAGGCATGGATACTCACTCAAATATCATGAAACTTTCTTCGTTTTTGACATAAGTGTTCCCTGGCATATGCTCCGGGCAAAAATTTCGTAAAAGTGACGAAATAACTATCAAGCAAACGAGTTTCATCAATATTAAAGAGATATTTTCTCACTCTGCTTTCCTCCAAAAAAGAAAAAAAAGAAGAAAGAAAAGAAAAAAAAACCTCATTGTGCTTTATGTATTTAACTTTCTAATAATCACTTTATAGTGGGCACCATATAAGTGCCACAACACAAAAAGAAAAAATAAACAAAACGATAAGTTACAACTATACCCAAGAGGGATATGAACCCGGATTATCCTGGAACGAGATCAACTACTGGACCACCTTACGCGCCGGTTGAATTAGTTTGTCATTTTATTTTCGATTGTCTAGTCTTTATTCTAATTTCATCTTTCTAGTTAGCAATCTCCCAGACTAAACTTCCGTGAGGTTTCGAATTGAGGAAACATTTTCGTCAAATATTTGAGAGTCCGCGTTCAAATCAAGTGACTAAGTTACAAATCAAGTGATTACGTGACAAAATGATTCTCAAAATTGACGAAATACTGTTCAAGGATTGCTGAATTGCTAAAAGTGAGAGTATATTTCTGAAAGATTATATATAGTATTAGCTCCTTGTATTTCAAGATCACATCAGGCTGATTCATTTAATATTAACCATTGTCAATAATTTAAAAACATGTCAAATCAAGAGACTGTCCTTATATATTGTCCCCTTTTTAAAATACTGACTTTCCAAAAAAAAATATAGAGATTATGATTGGTATAATTTTACATGTCTTTTTCTTTATTTAAATATGATTTCATTTAAGTGTTAACTAAATAACTATGTTATACCTAATATTACGTTCTTATTTACGTTTAATCATAGTAAATAATTTAAAATTTATAAAATTTAAATTGTTTCTATGTATTTTTTCTATCGGCTATATCTGGATTTTCAATATTTTTCTTAGTTACAGCACTTTCACTGTATTTAAAATTATCTAACGGCACACACACACACAAAGCAGTCATTAAGCATTTGTCTGTGGTATATTATCAATTACATATATATATTGTAAGTTATATAGAGAGAAATATAATATAAGTCAATATAATCTAAGTAAGTTATATAATATAAGTAAAACAATGAAACAGAAATTATAAAAGTAAGTGGGGAAAATCAAAACATTATTAGCACATAAAATTCCCGCAAATTCTTTATCAGAAAGTATTAATAATTTAAAAATAAAGACTAATTTGAGAAAAGCAGTTAATTTTTTTAATAATTTTTATGATACAGTTTTTTAATTAAATATTTTTAATCAATGTGTTTTGTATATAATTTATTTCATTAATAATAATAGTTGAGAAAAATATTGATTATATTTTAATAGTTTCAATTAAAACATATTTTGCTCAAGGATTAAAAAGATTACTATTTAATTTACGTAACAGTAGATATATTCAAAATAATATAGTTTCCTTAAATCAATATCAACGCATTTTCCTCCGTATTAGAAGAAAATTTACTAAAAACACCATACTCATAGGCTAAGTCATATGACAAGCGAATAGTTCACTAGTAATAATAGAATAAACCTT